CGTCACGACCACGTCATAGCTGTTATTTTCCATCGCGCCTGTTGAGGTTGACCTCAGGGTCACACTGTCGCCTCGCAGGCGTCTCCCCTCTGCTCTCACGCTCCCACCGGCCAATGTACTCACTGACCCTTGGTGGCAAGTATGCTTAACTCCCTGTATCTACTTCCTGCCTGGACATACGGCGGCCTCCGTATTATGAAAGTGTTCCTGGTTAAGTGGACATTCTGGAGATACCCAACACGCCAGGTCACTATCCAGGGGTTAAGAGAGATAGGCTTGTGCACGAAGATCAGTGCACTGTGCACTGCGATGAGCCATTCCAGTCAGCTGTGGGAGAATCTTGAAAGAGACTCTCTCACAACCTACATGTACTTACCTACATGTACTCACCTACATGTAGGTGAGTCCTAGTCCCGTCTTCTGAACGTTCTTAGATTTATGGAACGACTCATTTCTCCCAATATTATCAAATTTACAATAGTCGAATTTCTCTACCTTATCAATTTCGTTTAGAATCTTATATGTTGTAATCATATCCACCCAATCTGTGTTGTTTCTACCTGAGGATGTTACCTGAGGCAGGGTAATGGCTGAGGCAGGGTGATGGCTGAGGCAGGGTGATGGCTGAGGCAGGGTGATGGCTGAGGCAGGGTGATGGCTGAGGCAGGGTGATGGGTGAGGCAGGGTGATGGCTGAGGCAGGGTGATGGCTGAGGCAGGGTGATGGCTAAGGCAGGGTGATGGGTGAGGCAGGGTGCTGAGGAGGAGGAGGAGTGTGCGCCTGCCTCCTCTAATCACAGCTCTCCACTCAGCCGACAACGAGCAAATACTGACCATCAGGAGCCTTAATTGGTGCAGGTGCTGCGCCCCCCCCCCTCGTCCCTCCCCCGCCACGAGCACACCCCCCCCTCGTCCCTCCCCCACCACGAGCACACCCCCCTCATCCCTCCCCCACCACGAACACACCCCCCCCTCCTCCCTCCCCCGCCACGAGCACACCCCCCCTCATCCCTCCCCCACCACGAACACCCCCCCCCCCTCGTCCCTGACCCACCACGAGCACACCCCCCCCCTCGTCCCTCCTCCACCACGAGCATCCCCGCCCCTGGTCCCTCTCCCACCACGAGCACCCCCCCCTCGTCCCGCCCCCACCACGAGCACCCCCCCTCGTCCCTCCCCCACCACGAGCACACCCGCCCCTCGTCCCTCCACCACCACGAGCACCCCCCCCCCCCCTCGTCCCGCCCCCACCACGAGCACACCCCCTCCCCTCGTCCCTCCCCCACCACCAGCACACCCCCCCCCATCGCACCTCCCCCACCACCAGCACACACCACCCCCCCTCGTCCCTCCCCCACCACGAGCACTCCCGCCCCTCGTCCCTCCCCCACCACGAGCACACCCCCCCCCCTCGTCCCTCCCCTACCACGAGCACTCCCGCCCCTCGTCCCTCCCTCACCACGAGCACACACCCCCCCCTCGTACCACCCCCACCACGAGCACTCCCGCCCCTCGTCCCTCCCCCACCACGAGCACACCCCCCCTCGTCCCTCCCCCACCACGAGCACACCCCCCCCCTCGTCCCTCCCCTACCAAAAGCACACACCCCTCGTCCCTCCCCCACCACGAGCACACCCCCCCCTCGTCCCTCCCCCACCAAAAGCACACCCCCCTCGTCCCTCCCTCACCACGAGCACACCCCCCTCCATCGTCCCACCCCCACCACGAGCACACCCCCCCTTGTCCCTCCCCCACCACGAGCACACACCCCCTCGTGCCTCCCCCACCACGAGCACCTCCCGCCCCTCGTCTCGCCCCCACCACGAGCACACCCGCCCTCGTCCCACCCCCACCACGAGCACACCCCCCATCGTCCCTCCCCCACCACGAGCACACCCCCCCTCGTCCCTCCCCACCACGAGCACTCCCTCCCCTCGTCCCTCCCCCACCACGAGCACCCCCCCCCCTCGTCCCTCCCCTACCACGAGCACTCCCGCCCCTCGTCCCTCCCTCACCACGAGCACACACCCCCCCTCGTCCCACCCCCACCACGAGCACTCCCGCCCCTCGTCCCGCCCCCACCACGAGCACACCCGCCCTCGTCCCACCCCCACCACGAGCACTCCCCCCTCGTCCCTCCCCCACCACGAGCACACCCCCATCGTCCCTCCCCCACCACGAGCACACCCCCCCTCGTCCCTCCCCCACCACGAGCACTCCCGCCCCTCGTTCCTCCCCCACCACGAGCACACCCCCCCCCCCTCGTCCCTCCCCTACCACGAGCACTCCCGCCCCTCGTCCCTCCCTCACCACGAGCGCACACCCCCCCCCGTCCCACCCCCACCACGAGCACACACCCCCCTCGTCCCTCCCCCACCACGAGCACACCCCCCCCGTCCCACCCCCACCACGAGCACACACCCCCCTCGTCCCTCCCCCACCACGAGCACACACCCCCTCGTCCCTCCCCCACCACGAGCACACACCCCCTCGTCCCTTCCCCACCACGAGCACTCCCGCCCCTCGTCCCGCCCCCACCACGAGCACACACCCCTCGTCCCACCCCCTCCACGAGCACTCCCCCCTCGTCCCTCCCCCACTACGAGCACACCCCCCCTCGTCCCTCCCCCACTACGAGCACACCCCCTCTCGTCCCTCCCCCACCACGAGCACACCCCCCCTCGTCCCTCCCCCACCACGAGCACACCCCCCCTCGTCCCTCCCCCACCACGAGCACTCCCGCCCCTCGTCCCGCCCCCACCACGAGCACACACCCCTCGTCCCTCCCCCACCACGAGCACACCCCCCTCGTCCCTCCCCCACCACGAGCACACCCCCCCTCGTCCCTCCCCCACCACGAGCACACCCCCCCTCGTCCCTCCCCCACCACGAGCACCCCCCCCCCTTGTCCCTCCCCCACCACGAGCACACCCCCCTCGTCCCTCCCCCACCACGAGCACAACCTCCCTCGTCCCTCCCCCACCACGAGCACACCCCCCCCTCGTCCCTCCCCCACCACGAGAACACCCCCCTCGTCCCTCCCCCACCACGAGCACACCCCCCTCATCCCTCCCCCCCACCACGAAACACCCCCCCTCCTCCCTCCCCCGCCACGAGCACACCCCCCTCATCCCTCCCCCACCACGAACACACCCCCCCTCGTCCCTGACCCACCACGAGAACACCCCCCCTCGTCCCTGACCCACCACGAACACACCCCCCCCCTCGTCCCTGACCCACCACGAGCACACCCCCCCTCGTCCCTCCTCCACCACGAGCATCCCCGCCCCTGGTCCCTCCCCACTACGAGCACCCCCCCCCTCGTCCCGCCCCCACCACGAGCACCCCCCCCTCGTCCCTCCCCCACCACGAGCACACCCGCCCCTCGTCCCTCCACCACCACGAGCACCCCCCCCCCCCTCGTCCCGCCCCCACCACGAGCACACCCCCCCTCCCCTCCCCCACCACCAGCACAACCCCCCCCCCATCGTCCCTCCCCCCCCACCAGCACACACACCCCCCCTCGTCCCTCCCCCACCACGAGCACTCCCGCCCCTCGTCCCTCCCCCACCACGAGCACACCCCCCCCCCTCGTCCCTCCCCTACCACGAGCACTCCCGCCCCTCGTCCCTCCCTCACCACGAGCACACACCCCCCTCGTCCCACCCCCACCACGAGCACTCCCGCCCCTCGTCCCTCCCCCACCACGAGCACACCCCCCCCCTCGTCCCTCCCCCACCACGAGCACACCCCCCCCCTCGTCCCTCCCCCTACCAAAAGCACACACCCCTCGTCCCTCCCCCACCACGAGCACACCCCACCCTCGTCCCTCCCCCACCAAAAGCACACCCCCCTCGTCCCTCCCTCACCACGAGCACACACCCCTCCATCGTCCCACCCCCACCACGAGCACACCCCCCCCCCTCGTCCCTCCCCCACCACGAGCACACACCCCCTCGTGCCTCCCCCACCACGAGCACTCCCGCCCCTCGTCTCGCCCCCACCACGAGCACACCCGCCCTCGTCCCACCCCCACCACGAGCACACCCGCCCTCGTCCCACCCCCACCACGAGCACACCCCCCCTCGTCCCTACCCCACCACGAGCACACCCCTCTCGTCCCTCCCCCACCACGAGCACTCCCGCCCCTCGTCCCTCCCCCACCACGAGCACACCCCCCCTCGTCCCTTCCCTACCACGAGCACTCCCGCCCCTCGTCCCTCCCTCACCACGAGCACACACCCCCCCTCGTCCCCACCCCCACCACGAGCACTCCCGCCCCTCGTCCCGCCCCCACCACGAGCACACCCGCCCTCGTCCCACCCCCACCACGAGCACTCCCCCCTCGTCCCTCCCCCACCACGAGCACACCTCCCCTCGTCCCTCCCCACCACGAGAGCACCCCCCCTCGTCCCTCCCCCACCACGAGCACTCCCGCCCCTCGTCCCTCCCCCACCACGAGCACACCCCCCCCCTCGTCCCTCCCCTACCACGAGCACTCCCGCCCCTCGTCCCTCCCTCACCACGAGCACACACCCCCCCCTCGTCCCACCCCCACCACGAGCACTCCCGCCCCTCGTCCCTCCACCACCACGAGCACACCCCCCCTTCCTCGTCCCTCCCCCACTACGAGCACACCCCCCCTCGTCCCTCCCCTACCAAAAGCACACACCCCTCGTCCCTCCCCCACCACGAGCACACCCCCCCTCGTCCCTCCCCCACCAAAAGCACACCCCCCTCGTCCCTCCCTCACCACGAGCACACCCCCCTCCCCGTCCCACCCCCACCACGAGCACACACCCCCCTCGTCCCTCCCCCACCACGAGCACACACCCCCTCGTCCCTCCCCCACCACGAGCACTCCCGCCCCTCGTCCCGCCCCCACCACGAGCACACACCCCTCGTCCCTCCCCACACCACGAGCTCACCCGCCCTCGTCCCACCCCCTCCACGAGCACTCCCCCCTCGTCCCTACCCCACCACGAGCACCCCCCCCCCTCGTCCCTCCCCCCCACGAGCACACCCCCCCTCGTCCCTCCCCCACCACGAACACTCCCGCCCCCCGTCCCGCCCCCACCACGAGCACACACCCCTCGTCCCTCCCCCACCACGAGCACACCCGCCTCGTCCCTCCCCCACCACGAGCACACCCCCCTCGTCCCTCCCCCACCACGAGCACACACCCCCCCTCGTCCCTCCCCCACCACGAGCACACCCCCCCTCGTCCCTCCCCCACCAAAAGCACACCCCCCTCGTCCCTCCCTCACCACGAGCACACCCCCCACCTCGTCCCACCCCCACCACGAGCACACACCCCCCTCGTCCCTCCCCCACCACGAGCACACACCCCCTCGTCCCTCCCCCACCACGAGCACTCCCGCCCCTCGTCCCTCCCCCACCACGAGCACACCCGCCCTCGTCCCACCCCCTCCACGAGCATTCCCCCCTCGTCCCTCCCCCACCACGAGCACTCCCGCCCCTCGTCCCTCCCCCACCACGAGCACACCCGCCCTCGTCCCACCCCCTCCACGAGCATTCCCCCCTCGTCCCTCCCCCACCACGAGCACACCCCCCCTCGTCCCTCCCCCACCACGAGCACACCCCCCCTCGTCCCTCCCCCACCACGAGCACTCCCGCCCCTCGTCCCGCCCCCACCACGTGCACACACCCCTCGTCCCTCCCCCACCACGAGCACACCCCCCTCGTCCCTCCCCCACCACGAGCACACACCCCCTCGTCCCTCCCCCACCACGAGCACACACCCCCCCTCGTCCCTCCCCAAGTGTTGCAGCTGCAAGTGTTGTACCAGCAAGTGTTGTACCTGCAAGTGTTGTACCTGCAAGTGTTGTACCTGCAAGTGTTGCACCTGCAAGTGCTGCACCTGCAAGTGTTGCACCTGCAAGTGTTGCACCTGCAAGTGTTGTACCTGCAAGTGTTGTACCTGCAAGTGTTGTACCTGCAAGTGTTGTACCTGCAAGTGTTCCACCTGCAAGTGTTGTACCTGCAAGTGTTGCACCTGCAAGTGTTGCACCTGCAAGTGTTGTACCTGCAAGTGTTGTACCTGCAAGTGTTGTACCTGCAAGTGTTCCACCTGCAAGTGTTGCACCAGCAAGTGTTGTACCAGCAAGTGTTGCACCTGCAAGTGTTGCACCTGCAAGTGTTGTACCTGCAAGTTTTGTACCTGCAAGTGTTGCACCTGCAAGTGTTGTACCTGCAAGTTTTGTACCTGCAAGTGTTGCACCTGCAAGTGTTGTACCTGCAAGTGTTGTACCTGCAAGTGTTGCACCAGCAAGTGTTGCACCTGCAAGTGTTGTACCTGCAAGTGTTGCACCTGCAAGTGTTGTACCTGCAAGTTTTGCACCTGCAAGTGTTGCACCTGCTAGTGTTGCACCTGCAAGTGTTGCACCTGCAAGTGTTGTACCTGCAAGTGTTGTACCTGCAAGTGTTGTACCAGCAAGTGTTGTACCAGCAAGTGTTGCACCTGCAAGTGTTGTACCTGCAAGTGTTGTACCTGCAAGTGTTGCACCTGCAAGTGTTGTACCTGCAAGTGTTGTACCTGCAAGTGTTCCACCTGCAAGTGTTGCACCTGCAAGTGTTTTACCAGCAAGTGTTGCACTGCAAGTGTTGTACCAGCAAGTGTTACACCTGCAAGTGTTGTACCTGCAACTGTTGCACCTGCAAGTGTTGCACCTGCAAGTGTTGTACCAGCAAGTGTTGTACCAGCAAGTGTTGTACCAGCAAGTGTTGTACCAGCAAGTGTTGTACCAGCAAGTGTTGCACCAGCAAGTGTTGCACCTGCAAGTGTTGTACCTGCAAGTGTTCCACCTGCAAGTGTTGCACCTGCAAGTGTTGTACCAGCAAGTGTTCCACCTGCAAGTGTTGCACCTGCAAGTGTTGCACCTGCAAGTGTTGCACCTGCAAGTGCTGTACCTGCAAGTTTTGCACCTGCAAGTGTTGTACCAGCAAGTGTTGTACCTGCAAGTGTTGTACCAGCAAGTGTTGCACCTGCAAGTGTTGCAACTGCAAGTGTTGTACCTGCAAGTGTTGTACCTGCAAGTGTTGCACCTGCAAGTGTTGTACCAGCAAGTCTTGCAACTGCAAGTGTTGTACCTGCAAGTGTTGTACCTGCAAGTTTTGTACCAGCAAGTGTTGTACCTGCAAGTGTTGTACCTGCAAGTGTTGCACCTGCAAGTGTTGTACCAGCAAGTGTTGCACCTGCAAGTGTTGCACCTGCAAGTGTTGCACCTGCAAGTGTTGTACCTGCAAGTGTTGTACCTGCAAGTGTTGCACCTGCAAGTGGTGCACCTGCAAGTGTTGTACCAGCAAGTGATGCACCTGCAAGTGTTGTACCTGCAAGTGTTGTACCTGCAAGTGTTGTACCAGCAAGTGTTGTACCAGCAAGTGATGCACCTGCAAGTGTTGTACCTGCAAGTGTTGTACCTGCAAGTGTTGCACCTGCAAGTGTTGTACCTGCAAGTGTTGTACCTGCAAGTGTTGCACCTGCAAGTGTTGTACCAGCAAGTGTTGCACCTGCAAGTGTTGTACCAGCAAGTGTTGCACCTGCAAGTGTTGCACCTGCAAGTGTTGTACCTGCAAGTGTTGTACCTGCAAGTGTTGTACCTGCAAGTGTTGTACCTGCAAGTGTTGTACCTGCTAGTGTTCTACCTGCAAGTGTTGTACCTGCAAGTGTTGTACCAGCAAGTGTTGCACCTGCAAGTGTTGTACCAGCAAGTATTATACCTGCAAGTGTTGTACCTGCAATTGTTGCACCTGCAAGTGTTGTACCTGAAAGTGTTGTACCAGCAAGTGTTGTACCTGCAAGTGTTATACTAGCAAGTGTTGTACCTGCAAGTGTTGTACCAGCAAGTGTTGCACCTGCAAGTGTTATACTAGCAAGTGTTGTACCTGCAAGTGTTGCACCTGCAAGTGTTGCACCTGCAAGTGTTGCACCTGCAAGTGTTGTACCTGCAAGTGTTGTACCTGCAAGTGTTGCACCTGCAAGTGTTGTACCTGCAAGTGTTGTACCAGCAAGTGTTGCACCTGCAAGTGTTATACCTGCAAGTGTTGCACCTGCAAGTATTGTATCAGCAAGTGTTGCACCTGCAAGTGTTGTACCTGCAAGTGCTGCACCTGCAAGTGTTGTACCTGCAAGTGCTGCACCTGCAAGTGTTGCACCTGCAAGTGCTGCACCTGCAAGTGTTGTACCTGCAAGTGTTGCACCTGCAAGTGTTGTACCTGCAAGTGTTGTACCTGCAAGTGTTGTACCTGCAAGTGCTGCACCTGCAAGTGTTGTACCTGCAAGTGTTGTACCTGCAAGTGCTGCACCTGCAAGTGTTGTACCTGCAAGTGCTGCACCTGCAAGTGTTGTACCTGCAAGTGTTGTACCTGCAAGTGCTGCACCTGCAAGTGTTGTACCTGCAAGTGCTGCACCTGCAAGTGTTGTACCTGCAAGTGCTGCACCTGCAAGTGTTGCACCTGCAAGTGCTGCACCTGCAAGTGTTGTACCTGCAAGTGCTGCACCTGCAAGTGTTGCACCTGCAAGTGTTGTACCTGCAAGTGTTGTACCTGCAAGTGCTGCACCTGCAAGTGTTGTACCTGCAAGTGTTGTACCTGCAAGTGCTGCACCTGCAAGTGTTGCACCTGCAAGTGCTGCACCTGCAAGTGTTGCACCTGCAAGTGCTGCACCTGCAAGTGTTGCACCTGCAAGTGCTGCACCTGCAAGTGTTGTACCTGCAAGTGTTGCACCTGCAAGTGTTGCACCTGCAAGTGTTGTACCTGCAAGTGCTGCACCTGCAAGTGTTGCACCTGCAAGTGTTGTACCTGCAAGTGCTGCACCTGCAAGTGTTGCACCTGCAAGTGTTGTACCTGCAAGTGTTGTACCTGCAAGTGTTGCACCTGCAAGTGCTGCACCTGCAAGTGTTGTTCCTGCAAGTGCTGCACCTGCAAGTGTTGCACCTGCAAGTGTTGTACCTGCAAGTGTTGTACCTGCAAGTGCTGCACCTGCAAGTGTTGCACCTGCAAGTGTTGCACCTGCAAGTGCTGCACCTGCAAGTGTTGTACCTGCAAGTGCTGCACCTGCAAGTGTTGTACCTGCAAGTGCTGCACCTGCAAGTGTTGTACCTGCAAGTGCTGCACCTGCAAGTGTTGTACCTGCAAGTGCTGCACCTGCAAGTGTTGTACCTGCAAGTGCTGCACCTGCAAGTGTTGTACCTGCAAGTGCTGCACCTGCAAGTGTTGTACCTGCAAGTGCTGCAACACGTCTCGCTCCAAGACACTTTCTGGCAAGGTAATAAGTGCCACACGAACTTGGATATTCCTGTTCTTTACATTACTTGTAGCACTAAACACACTAACCGGCTCCTGTACCAACCGGCTCGTGGTCCGGGCAATTCCCGGCACTAACCTGTTCCCTTGTACCAGGCTCGAGGCCTACATCCCAGTCTAACATGGTCTCCATTCCTGTATATCTCCTTCCCGTGTCAGTATCATTAAAGTTTAAATGAAAAAATAAAAAATATTACAAAAAATATGTATATAATAATGTTCTGTAAATCCAGAACACGAACGTAAAGTCATTACGGGACTCAATCACCACTGAAGACACATGGTAAACTCTACTTGTGTGGGAGGTTACACACACTCGTTTGTTCAATGAAGCGCGTCAATGACTGGGCAAGTACAACTCAAACCGAACTTGCAGGCATATAACTTGCTGCTGAACTTGTAAAAGACAAAGGCAGTGGACTTATATACTGTGACTCGCAGAGTGCACTCCTGGCATTGAACGTACATAGTAGTGACACCTAGAAAATAGTCAGTGATATTCGAATGAATGTTTTAGCTGCTAAAGAAAATAAATTTGAAATTAAATTCCTATGGATACCATCACATGTTGGCATCTCAAGACATGACACTGTTGATATGCTTGCTAAGACAGCCTGCAGAAAACCAGTGGTAGAAATTGATATGGGTGTTTCATTAGCAGTGACAAAGAGAATACTTAAACAAATATCTAATGAAGATCTCACCGACCTAACAAATTCACAAAGACCTGAAAGTTGTAGCATTAAATATTATGATAGATATCGTGAGGAGACATTCACATATGGGACTAATAGAACAAGAACCCGGCAATGTGATGTTATAGTGGCCAGAATACGCCTGGGATATAGACGTATCTGGCAGCTTTCTCAAAACCCAAATGTCCAGTACACCATGTGTCAACTTTGTGAAAGTGTCCAATACACAATGTGTCAACTTTGTGAAAGTGTCCAATACACCATGTGTCAACTTTGTGAAAGTGTCCAATACACCATGTGTCAACTTTGTGAAAGTCTCCAGTACACAATGTGTCAACTTTGTGAAAGAGAAAACATGAACTCCCTTGAACATTATATTGTAGAATGTCCCATACTGACTGACTTTCGCCCTCCTGGGCTAAGGTATGCTGAACTCTGTAGTTACTATATGAGTACTGGAACACTTGATGATATATTGGACTTGTACCCAAGATTAACCATGTAATATATCAATTATATAATGTATGTATGTGATGTAACTATATAACCTGAGCTTGTAAAAGCATCTTAATCACCTTCAGTGATTATGTGCTTAATTACACACTAGTTTCTCTATCAGCTATCTCACCCTGTCAGAGTAAGAGACAAATGTATATGTGTGTGTATATATATGTATATGTACGAATATGTGTGTGTATATATATGCATATGTACGAATATGGGTGTGTATGAATATGTGTATAAAGTATATGTGGAAGCTGATCAGAATTACATTTCACCTTTGTAAATGTACATTAATGACACTATGTAAAAGACACATCGAACACTTTATGTAGGGCAGACGTAAATCTGTGTATCTATGTATTTACGTATGTAGGTTAGCTTAGCATTTTAAAAGCATTATACAATCACCTTCTGTTTTTGAGTGTTCAATAAATCCTTGAACTATATGTTTAACACTTCTCTCACCCTGTCCATGAAGGACAGAAGAAAACGTATATATGCTGGTTAGCATTGTAAATGTGTGGATAGCATTGTAAAAAAATCTCGTTTGTTGAGTGTATGAGCTTACACACACTCGTGTGTTGAGTGCATGAGCCATATCGTCATGAGGCCAACACGTGTGGGCCGCAGGTGCGCACACTGCGAGGAGAGCGGAGGTGCGCATCTGTGGCAGCAGTTGCAGGCAATACGGAGGACGCGGAGGTCGTTGAGTGTCTATAAAGGTTAATATAGCCAGGTAATCGTGCCTTCCGGCTGGCTCCATACAGAACAGCGGCTCCCGGAGGCCAGCTACGGCCTTGCTGTGTGCTGGGGGGAGGCAGGTGCTGGGGGAGGTGATGAGGGAGGGAGGCAGGTGCTGGGGAGAGGTGCTGTAGGCAGGTGCTGGCGGGAGGCAGGTGCTGGGGGGAGGCAGGTGCTGGCGGGAGGCAGGTGCTGGGGGAGGCAGGTGCTGGCGGGAGGCAGGTGCTGGGGGGAGGCAGGTGCTGGGGGAGGTGATGAGGGAGGGAGGCAGGTGCTGGGGAGAGGTGCTGTAGGCAGGTGCTGGCGGGAGAAGCAGGTGCTGGGGGAAGAGGCAGGTGCTGGGGGAAGGCAGGTGCTGGGGGGAGGCAAGTGCTGGGGGAGGTGATGAGGGAGGGAGGCAGGTGCTGGGGAGAGGTGCTGTAGGCAGGTGCTGTAGGCAGGTGCTGGGGGAGAGGCAGGTGCTGGGGGAAGAGGCAGGTGCTGGGGGAAGAGGCAGGTGCTGGGGGAAGGCAGGTGCTGGGGGGAGGCAGGTACTGGGGGAGGTGATGAGGGAGGGAGGCAGGTGCTGGGGAGAGGTGCTGTAGGCAGGTGCTGGGGGAGAGGCAGGTGCTGGGGGAAGAGGCAGGTGCTGGGGGAAGGCAGGTGCTGGGGGAGGCAGGTGCTGGGGGGAGGCCGGTGCTGGGGGAGGTGATGAGGGAGGGAGGCAGGTGCTGGGGAGAGGTGCTGTAGGCAGGTGCTGGGGGAGAGGGAGGTGCTGGGGGAAGAGGCAGGTGCTGGGGGAAGGCAGGTGCTGGGGGGAAGCAGGTGCTGGGGGGAGGCAGGTGCTGGGAGAGGTGATGAGGGAGGGAGGCAGGTGCTGGGGGAGGTGCTGGGGGAAGAGGCAGGTGCTGGGGAAAGGCAGGTGCTGGGGGGAAGCAGGTGCTGGGGGGAGGCAGGTGCGGGGGGAGGTGATGAGGGAGGGAGGCAGGTGCTGGGGGAGAGGCAGGTGCTCGGGAAGAGGCAGGTGCTGGGGGAGAGGCAAGTGCTGGGGGAGGAGGCAGGTGCTGGGGGGAGGTGCTGGAGGCAGGTGCTGGGGAAGGAGGCAGGTGCTGGGGGGAGGCAGGTGCTGGGGGGAGGTGCTGGTGGGATGCAGGTGCTGGGGAGAGAGGCAGGTACTGGGGGAGAGGCAGATGCTGGGGGGAAGCAGGTGCTGGGGGAGAGGCAGGTGCTGGGGGAGAGGCAGGTGTTGGGGGGAGGCAGGTGCTGGGGGAGAGGCAGGTGCTAGGGGGAGGTGCTGGAGGGAGGTGCTGGGGTAGGCAGGTGCTGGGGGAGGAGGCAGGTGCTGGGGGGAGGTGCTGGTGGGATGCAGGTGCTGGGGAGAGAGGCAGGTGCTGGGGGAGAGGCAGATGCTGGGGGGAATCAGGTGCTGGGGGAGAGGCAGGTGTTGGGGGGAGGCAGGTGCTGGGGGAGAGGCAGGTGCTAGGGGGAGGTGCTGGAGGCAGGTGCTGGGGGAGGCAGGTGCTGGGGGAGGAGGCAGGTGCAAGGGAAAGAGGCAGGTGCTGGAGGAGGAGGCAGGTGCTGGGGGGAGGCAGGTGCTGGAGGAGGAGGCAGGTGCTGGGGGAGGCAGGTGCTGGGGGGAGGCAGGTACCGGGGGAGAGGCAGGTGCCGGGGGAGAGGCAGGTACTGGGGGAGAGGCAGGTGCGGGGGAGAAGCAGGTGCTGGGGGAGGAGGCAGGTGCTGGGGGAGGAGGCAGGTGCTGGGGGGAGGCAGGTGCTGGTGGGATGCAGGTGCTGGGGAGAGAGGCAGGTGCTGGGGGAGAGGCAGATGCTGGGGGGAAGCAGGTGCTGGGGGAGAGGCAGGTGCTGGGGAGAGGCAGGTGCTGGGGGAGAGGCAGGTGTTGGGGGGAGGCAGGTGCTGGGGGAGAGGCAGGTGCTAGGGGGAGGTGCTGGAGGCAGGTGCTAGGGTAGGCAGGTGCTGGGGAGAGGCAGGTGTTGGGGGAGAGGCAGGTGCCGGGGGAGAGGCAGGTACTGGGGGATAGGCAGGTACTGGGGGAGAGGCAGGTGCTGGGGGAGAGGCAGGTGCTTGGGGTGGAGGCAAATGCTGGGGGGGAGGCAGGTGCTGGGGGGAGGCAGGTACTGGGGGAGAGGCAGGTGCTGGGGGAGAGGCAGGTACTGGGGAAGAGGCAGGTGCTGGGGGAGAGGCAGGTGCTTCGGGAGAGGCAGGTGCTGGGGGAGGTGCTGGGGGAGAGGCAGGTGCTGGGGGGAGGCAGGTGCTGGGGGAGAGGCAGGTGCTGGGGGAGGTGCTGGGGGAGAGGCAGGTGCTGGGGGAGAGGCAGGTGCTGGGGGAGGTGCTGGGGAAGAGGCAGGTGCTGGGGGAGAGGCAGGTGCTGGGGGAGGTGCTGGGGAAGAGGCAGAGACTGGGGGAGAGGCAGGTGCTAGGGGAGAGGCAGGTGCTGGGGGAGAGGCAGGTGCTAGGGGAGAGGCAGGTGCTGGGAGAGAGGCAGGTGCTGGGGAGAGGCAGGTGCTGGGGGAGAGGCAGGTGCTGGGGAAGAGGCAAGTGCTGGGGGAGAGGCAGGTGCTGGGGGAGAGGCAGGTGCTGGGGGAGAGGCAGGTGCTGGGGGAGAGGCAGGTGCTGGGGAAGATGCAGGTGCTGGGGGAAGGCAGGTGCTGGGGAAGAGGCAGGTGCTGGGGGAGAGGCAGGTACTGGGGGAGGTGCTGGGGAAGAGGCAGGTGCTGGGGGAGAGGCAGGTGCTGGGGGAAGGCAGGTGCTGGGGGAGGCAGGTGCTGGAGGAGGAGGCAGGTGCTGGGTGGAGGCAGGTGCTGGGGAAGAGGCAGGTGCTGGGGAAGAGGCAGGTACCGGGGGAGAGGCAGGTGCCGGGGGAGAGGCAGGTACTGGGGGAGAGGCAGGTACTGGGGGAGAGGCAGGTGCTGGGGGAGAGGCAGGTGCTTGAGGTGGAGGCAAATGCTGAGGGGGAGGCAGGTGTTGGGGGGAGGCAGGTGTTGGGGGGGAGGCAGGTGCTGGGGGGAGGCAGGTGCTGGGGGGA